TACAATCAAGGACAATCTTTCTTGGGATATTCACATAGATACTATGTCTAAAAGAATATGCAAAACCCTAGGAGTTATAAGCAAAATTAAAAATAAATTAAATAAACCTACTCTAATTGACCTGTATTATTCGTTAATCTTTCCTCACCTCATCTACTGCAACGTAATTTGGGGAAACAGTCCTGACATTCATCTAAAACAGTTAACAAAATGCCAAAACCGATTCATCAGAATATTTAAAAATCTTCATCCTCATTGTCACACAAGTGAATATTATCTCGAGATGAAAATACTCAACATCAAAAACTTGTTCATCTACCACGTTGCAACATTCATTTTTAGATTTCTACGTCAGCAATTGCCGGCATTTTTTAGAAACTTTTTCACTTTTGGAACTTCCATTCAAGCAAGAATTACACGCCACACGCCACTTTTCTATGCTCCACCAGCCAGAATTAAAGTACTCTGCATGAGTTTGAAACATACTGGCCCAGGAATATGGGAGACGATTCCACAAGAAATTAAAGATTGTAACACTTTGCATCTTTTTAAAAATAAACTGAAAAATTTTTTAATTACGAAAAGTTCTGTTTTTCAAGGATAATAATGTATATGTATATATATATATGTATATAAGTGTGTACATATTTCATTAACATTGATACATTTTCTCCTATTGACAATTTTATTTTATAATTGAGAAGCAATTTTGAGCTGCACGGTGGCCGAGCCCACAAGAATTAATTTTCTTTTTTTGGTCTCCGAATCATTCATGCTTTTGTTTTGTTTGATTGAATAAAAGTGATTTGATTTGATTTGATGTATGTATGTATGTATGTATGTATGTATGTATGTATGTATGTATGTATGTATATATATGTGTGTGTATGTGTTTATTGTGTTGTTTGTTGTGATATTGTTTATTGTGATATTGTTTGTTGTTTGAGTTGTTGTTTTTTAAGATGCGTCGAATGTTGTGTGACGAGCATCGTATATGTCACGGTCAATTTGTGAGAGAAATTTTACTTTGGTCATTGCCTGTGAGAGTATTTTTCCTGGAATTTTTTGTTATTAAATAAAATTTCGTTTCGTTTCGTCTCCTTTAGTTTCGTTTCGTCTCGTATGTTGTTTTCTGGTGTGTTGTATTAGTTGTCGTTTGTGTGTTTCTGTGCTGAAACATGCCGAGGTTTCATTTGCAAACAACTTGTCGTGTAAACTCTCATAAAGTTAAGAGTTAATTAAAAGGAAAGTTAAAAACAATTTAAATTAAAACTTTTTTCAAACCAGAAGGTTTACGGGTGTATTTCCATTTCTAATTGGCGATTTTCAGTAAAAAAAACATTTAGAGAAATTCAAATTGATTTTTTTAGATTTTAATTTTAAACTTAATAACTATTTCGTAAATTAATAATTTAGATTGCCGTTGATTTATGATTTGTCGTTGCTTTGTTTCTGTATATTATATGCAATTATGTGTTATTATCGGTGTTGTTGTTGTCGGAATATATTTTATGACGTCATTAAAAATGTTAAACAAATTTTTTTTTTGTTGTTTTAAATTTCCGAACTTCGTACCCACGAAAAATTTTTGGCCCGATGGTGAATCCTTTTCCATTATTTTCCATTGAGAAACGCTGTTATTCTGAGAAGATATGAATAATACACCACCTTCACACACACACACACACACACACACACACACACACACACACACACACACACACACACACACACAGACACACACATACATACAGATACACACACGCACACACATATGCGTGTACTGTACATCTTTCTTCAACTATTTATATGCTAATTCCATATTGAAGAAAATATGAAATAACTTGTATAACTAACTCACTTGAGAATACATACTCTGTTGTAATTTCCTTCATAATTGTGTGTTGTCGTCGTGATGAAATATTATATATAAAGCTGAAATAATTAAATGAATAATAAAATAATTATATCTGTGAACGACCACTTATGAATTTTGATGTACACATGAATAAAAACTCACACATACAGACAGACAAACAATAATACAAAAAACGCAATGCAACTTACATTCACGCATAAATACTTGTAAATGAAAAACGCACGTAATCACACACGCAAACATATAAAAACAGACAAACAAACAAACACTCAATCACACAAACAAAAATATACAAACACGAAAACAAACACAAACTCACAAACAAACACCCACAGTTCACGGAACTGAAAGAAGTCATCGACCAATCTGGTCCGTGCCTAGCAGGCCTGGAGACATCTGCCAAGAAGAACATCAACATTGAAGAGGCGTTCATAAAGCTGTTCCTACTCGCCAGACTACCAACTGAAATGAGTCCATCCCTGCACAGAAAAGTTCAACCGACTTATGTGGCCAACTTCGAGTCGACCGAGAAGTCGCGATCTGGAAATCGGAGGTTGATGTCGCTGCGGCGGCGACTGAGCGACGCCTGTGGCGCTGTAGCTATCAACGCCAGGAGACCGAGTATACGCACTGACATGATGAACCTGCAGATGAAGCAGCAGAACAAACAAACGTCATCAGTGACGTCATCGTCGACTTTGAGTCACGAGCAGGGCGGTGGTGGTGGTGGTAGTGATGGCGACATCGGGAAGGAGCTGATGGCATTTAAGAACTGTTCCCTGCAGTAATGAGATGGATGGATGGATGGATGAATGAATGAATAGATGAATGAATGGATGGATGAATGAATGAATAAACGAATGAATAAATAAACGCGTAAATAAACAAATGAATAAAGTAATTAATTAATTAATTGATTAATTAATTAATTAAGAAGTTTTAGCATTTTACTAATTGGTGAAACTTATTAATTAATAAAAAAGTAAATTGTGCCATAGCTCTCATTACGTTAGTTTCAAGAAATACGTTCTCGATGTATTACATTGTATTGTATTGTATTGTGTTTTCAAGCGTTCGTCGAGTCATCAATAAATTAAAAAAATTCCACTATATTTTATAGAAAAATTATTCTTTATTTAAATCGAGATAATTAAACAATATTTTTTTCTAACAAACATTTCAAATAAAAATTATTTTTTGTGATATATGAAAAATTTCAACCATAATAACTGTTATAAATAAACAATTACGTTGTGCTTGGTCGTATGTTTTTTTTTTTTTTGAAATGAAACTTGTCCTTTTGTTGGGATCATGAACAATGGGAGCAAGTCATTTTCAAGTACACCTTAATGAAAACATTATTAAAACTTTAATTAGAAATAAAAAAATTAGATAAATATTAATTGAATAGTTGAATAATTGAATAGTGTATAGTTGTTGGATTGATTTGCCGGCAAACTGTCTGACTGATTGAATGATTGATTGAATGAATGATTGATTGATTGACTGATGATTGATTGATTGATCGAATGGTTGATTGATTGATTGATTGATTGATTGATTGATTGATTAAGCGATTGGCTGAACGATCTGATTGTTGGTTTATCTAACTGATATTTTTCTCGTAAAAACATTTTAAGAAATACTAATCCATCTGCCAGGTTCTTGAAACAATTATAAATTGAACGCAAGATGGCAGGATAAGAAATTATTTCAATTATATATTTAAATTTCATTCCAAATTAAATTAAAATTAGGCAAGGATAAACTATTAGAAAATTAATTTATTACCTATTAACGATTATTTTTGATTAATTAATTAAGTAAACAATTAATTAAAACCAATCCATTAATAAAAATAAATAAGATATAGCACTAAGGGCATAAACAATAAAATAACATACGACAGTAAATAAGAAACCAGAATATATAACAAATAACACAAACATATAACATAACATGAAAATTCATCATTTAACATTTAATTGATTCTATATGATGATTAACACAACAACACTGATATATAGATACATAGATACACACATACATAAGATGAGATCTCATTTTTGAAAATTTACTTGTTACCCAACGAATAACATTAATATAAAGCGTAGTTTAACAAAGTCGTAACCTGGATAATGTTGCCAGATGTTGAGTGAGATTTTGTAAAGAAATACAATGCGTCGCACACATGCTGTTCTGTAATAATTAAAAGAATCTTTTCAAAAAATTTTATTTTATTTCATTAAAATTTTATTAAATCGATCAGCGTTTTAAATATTCCTTTGAAAAAATGATAGAATGTTTAATTTAATGAAATCATTGAGTTTGTTCATTGGTCTATTGATTCTATATTATTCTTTGGATCGGATTTAAATTGTCTTGATTGTGA